ACACATCAGTTGTACTAATATTTACGGAATATTTTTTGAAATTATTGTTTCTGAACCCCCTTTTGCATAACGTTCGGGTCACGTTGAATTTTTTGATAAATCTCACACTGACACTAATCTCTGGAGCTTCCTACGGTAATTTTGTCAGCAGAGTGGTTGGTGACTCACCCTCTTACCGCAAAACTATACCGAAGCTGCTTTTCCATATGATATCTACCTATTGTATTGTGAAAAGAAGAGAGATTTTAAGACAAAGCATTGTATACATGATTTGGGGCACCCTATGCAGCGAGTCAAAAAATTTCTAGTAACAACAGTGGCTACAAAATCTCGACAATTTGGTGTGAAGCTTATGTCTGATATAACTTTCTCACCATTACTCTGCGGTTTGTTTTCCTGGCTTTGATCCACAAAACATTTCCCTCTCAAAAAAGGTTCTACACCAACTCGTTTGAAAGGTGTATAACTAAACCAAGATCTCATTGCAAGTCGCAAGTGCGATTTGAGATCCCTCCCCAATAAAAGTACATGGAAGCAAAAATAAGCAACGTTTCAAACCACAAATAATTACCTCACAGCATAAATATCTCTGCACACTGTGCCTCAAGCAATAAATGGATGTAATGAAAGCAATCCACGCATCAGATGAACACTTTGACAGATTTTAAATCAAATTCAAACGGAGAAACTTCTTTCCGTATTCCTAAAATTTACCACAATATGTCACTGATACATACACCGATAACAAATCAACGTGGGTGTTTTTTCAGCACAGTGAGTTACGCATCCGAGTAAAAACAGGAAAATGGTGAAAAGTGATTTTTTACCATATAAATATCGTATCGTAGTAGACTGTGGTACTTCTATAAATGAGAAGAGGCGCCTCAGCAAGGTGAGTCGAACGATGTTCTTGTTCGTGTTCGTTCTTGTTCCAAATTCGTCTATTTTGAAGCGAGATATGGGGATGCGACGCGAACTCCACCGCACTCCGCTGGCTTTTCGCCCGCCTCTAGTGCACTCCGCCGGAGTGAATCATGAGCGGTATAGCAGTAGTCACTGACGAATTATGAGAGTATTGTGGTAGTCATTGAAGCTCTTCACTTATTTGTTGCTGAAGGAAATTTCAGCAGCTTAGCGCCATTGTTAAGCTATTTCGGAAAATTAAAAACATGGTTTAAAGCTTGTGCAATGGTGTTATCCATATTCTGATCTCAATAATAGAATTTATACAGGTTTGTGAAATTGTATAAAATCTCTTGAAAATTGTTGGACTGCCTTTTTGAAATTTCCTTCGCTAAAAATTGCTAACTTCGTGCGTTTGTTGGAGCAAAGTTCGGTTGTTGTGGAAATCGCTCAATTTTCCTAATATTTATAATTCTAACACCAGCAAATGCGGCTGATGGTTCTCTCCACGCATAGTTTGAAGTTGAGGCCAGCCTGAAGCAATAAGACAGGAGAAATACTGCTTTTGCGTCCTAAAAAGTAGTATTGACTTTCAATGGCCAGAGCAAAAATCAATGTTAGCCTATCGCGATACAAGTTGTTGAAGAAAACGCTTACAATGAAATTCACACTGGCTGGAAAAGTGCTAACATCGAACAAAGTCTAAATTGATACTGTTTTCAATTAACAAAAAAGAAAAGTCTGGAAAAAAGAAAAAACAGTAGGAATAAAAATTTGAGCACAAATGCCTCTGCATAGTAGGTTAGAACAGAAGCTGTACATTTTTCTAGGTTTCACTCCCAAACATTAAGTTTTACCAAAAATCATCTTTCCACTTGTCACAAATGGCAATTAGCAACATTTGGCAATATAATATGCACTGCGTGCCAATTAGCGTTCAAACTTCTCCACTGCGTACATGCTGTGCTTATTTTCCCGTCGCTCCAGACAGAATTAAGGTAACAATATTGGAACTATTCTATTAGGTTGACCTCCAAGCGACAGCCGCAGTTTTAGTATCAAAACTATGTAAAATATTCTATCCGACACAGTAAAGCAAGCTACAGGATACCGTTCTAGACTGCGTCTTTTCAATGAAAGTATCTGAATATTCAACTATCCCAAAACCAAATCTCCGCCAAAAATTATTTTGCAGGCCTCCAAATTTGCTATCATGTGGTGAACATAGGGTAATATAAGAAATGCACTTGTCAGAACTTTTTCAAGATCGTAATCAGAGTCAGTATCCAGACAAATTGGGCGCATGGAGTTTTTTGCTTGGAAAATGATAGGGAGTCTTAGTTGAGGCACTGCCAAACGGCAGCGCAAATGATTCGCATGAGTGAGTGATTCATTCCCACACACTTCCTGTGCCGCGACCGTACTCGCGAGTGACTTAGGGTAGTCCCAGAAGAAACGTAGTAATATGGTGAGCGAAGTCATTTTCGTGTTATGGTCACGGGCACTCAGATAAACGCCGGGGACGGGCGGTTCGCAAACTTGCGCTTTTCTGCAGGTCAACAGAATTTTGGGGCGTGGCCAAACCTTCAGCGCTCAGATAATCGCCGGGGGCAGGCGGTCCGCAAACTCGCGCTTTTCTGCAGGCGGTCAGCAGGATTTTGGGGCGTGGCCAAACCTTCAGCGGGCGGTACTTTCGTCTTCTGCCAGCGGGCAGCAATACAAAATTTCCTGCAAGCGCTCCGCAAATAATTTCTTTCAGCGAGCGCTGCCCAATTTTTCAGCAAGCGCTCGAACTCTTTTTAGGCATTTTCGGGCGTACGTTGAGCGCAGGTAAGACTCTGTGTGGCAGAGGTGTCACCGCTGGTTTAGTTACTCAAGTTTGAGGTACTTTCTCTCAGCGAAAAGTACCTGAGGGTTGAGCGGTCCTCCACAAAGGACCGTGCGGCCCTCGAAATTTTTGCATATTCTCGCGGAAAGTCCGCGAGAATGCGGCCACCGCGCCGCAGCTAATCCATAAAGAAACCACGATTGTTCTTCAAGCTTTCGTCTTTAATTTCGCCAACTTTCTTCCAAATTTCTGCAAGCGGGCCGCAAAAAATCAACGAACTATTTTTCCGGTGCCCGCCTGCCCATAAATCGCATCGCCGCTTGCCCCCGGCGATTATCTGAGCGAGTGATACTCCGTGTTCTGCCAGCGGGCAGCAATACAGAATTTTCTGCAAGCGCTCGTCAAATAATTTCTTTCAGCGAGCGCTGAGCAAACTTTCAGCAGGCGCTCGGACTCTTTCTACTCAGGGCCGGGCGTACGCCGAGAAAAGGTGAAACTCTATGTGGCAGAGGTGTCGTCGATGGTTTAATCATCCAAGTTTGGAGTACCCTCTTCTAGAGGAAGGTACCTGCGGGCAGTGAGGTCCTTGACAAAGGACCGTGCAGCCTCCAACAACCTTCCACATTTTCGTGGAAAGTCCGCAAGAGTGCGGCCACTGGGCCGCAAGTTACCCATAGAAAGACCGCGATAGTTCCTCAGGCGTTCGTCTGAAAATTGGCCAAAATTATTCCAAATTTCTGCAAGCGGACCACAAGAAATTAGCGAACTATTTTTTCGGTGCCCGCTTGCTCAAAATTCGCATGGCCGCCTGCCCCCAGCGATTATCTGAGCATGCGACTCATGAGCAAGCGGGCACCGAGAACTAGTTCGCTGATTTCCTGCTATCCTCTTGCAGATATTTAAAGGAATTTTGGCCAAATTTTAGACGAATAGAACTCAAACTACAAAATTCCTCGAGATTATGCAAAATTGTTGGGGACCGCACCGTCCTTTGTGAAAGACTGCGCAGTCCCCAGGTACTTTCCGCTGAGAGAAAGTACCCCAAACTCGGTTAATTAAACCATCGATGACACCTCTGCCACATAGAGTCTCACATTTGCTTGGCGTACGCCCGAAACTGCCTAAAAAGAGTCTGAGCGCCTGCTAAAAGTTCGGCCAGCGCTCGCTGAAAGAGATTATTTGACGAGCTCCCGCAGAAAACTCTGTATTCTGCCCAGCTAGCAAAACATTAGAAAGTAAAGGAAGTAGCGCTCGCTGAGGTTTGGCCACGCCCCAAAATTCTGCTGACCGCCTGGATAGCGCGGGTTTGCGGACCGGCTGCCCCCGGCGATTAAGGGAGTGGGAGTTGGTGCAGGGGGTGGGGTGTAAGAAAGGTGCTGATTATGAATAAAACTTTATTTTATCGATTTTATCGATTATTTGAAAAGTTTTACGAGGCTGGGATTTTGGTATAAGGGGGGGGGGGGGATGGGGGTGCTGATCAAAAATAAAATCTTTTCTATAGATTTCACCGATTTTTGGAAAATCTTGAGCTAGGAGGGGCTTTAGCCGAATATGTCAGCAAGTTTTAAATCTGGTTGCTCTAGTAATTCGATAAATCATTCGAATATTCATTCAAAATTCGACTCCTAATGTTCGAAGATAATCGATATTCACTCATTCGATATTTTTGATTATCCGATATTAATCTTATTCATTTATTCGAGAATTTTTAATTTAATGTTCGTTTATTCGAGATTTTTTATTTCCGAATGTATTCGAAATCGTTTATTCAAAATTTTTCAATTTCGAATATATTCGATATTATTCGATAAAAAATTTCAAATTTACTTAAGTGTACTGAAGAGCAAAATGGTACAATTCTCAATAACAGACGATCAACTATGTTTTTTTTCCTTTTCATTGTACTAAATCCCGAAAGATTGCTTTTTGCTTTTGTTTTGTGATGCTGATTGAATAGAGACTTTCCTACTGCTTTTGACGCCAAAGCGGACTTTGTGAAATTCTGCGAAGTCATGCGGAGCTTCGTTTTGAGAAGATTTTTTTGGGGGGATTCAAATCAACGCGTGTCGAGCCCAGCTCGTAGAGTCATTCTGTGAGCAAGCATTGCTCTATCAGAAAATGCACCATGCATTTTTGGTATTCTCGGTGCGGTTACACAAGAAACGCTTATTATTTTTGCACAAATCTAACATGATTTTTCTGTGTAATTTTCAGTTCATGCAAATTTTATGGTTTCTTGAACATTTCAAGCAGCAATTCTTCAGCTCTAGATGTTTATGGCGGGGCCGCTTCCACACTGCACACGTGCGGATTTTATTATGGGATGTGATATCTTTGCTTCCTTCGCCATTATTGTCGCCTAAATTCACATATGTAAAAGGAATAATTATCAAAAAATGAAAAGAGAAGCATACCACTCTACAATCTGGCACATCCATCTCCACAACCACTGCAAATTTACCACCCACATTGCGGACATTCACCTTGTACAATTGTTTGAGGAAAGGTTTAATGTTACGCCTCAACTGATATCGAATCTAAAGAGAGGGGGTTTTTTAGTCACGCAAAAGGAGAGCGTATTTGCCTCTTTTTTTGCAACTTCCATGTATTGTCGATCATGACCCTTCTCATAGAATACATCCGTGAAGATAGTTGCAGTAACCAGCTGACCGCTTCCACACTGCACAGTCACGGATTTTACCAAGGGATGCGTCTTTGCTTCCTCTGCCATGTTTCTCACCTAAATTCACATATGTAAAAGCAATAATTATCAAAAAATGAAGATAGAAGCATACCTCATCACAGGACACATTTTTCACCCTCACAACCAATGCTATTTTACCACGCACATTGCGGACATTCATCTCATACATAGTTTCCCAATCAGGGATAAAAGTTTTCCTTACCTGACGTAGAACCTAAACAGCGGGGGACCCTTTAGTCATGCAAAAGGAGAGCGTATTTGCCTCTTTTTTTGCAACATCGGTGTATGGCCCTTCCTGATTCCTCTCATAGGTTAAAGTCGTGAAGAAAGTTGTAGTAGCCCACTGTCCCATCTGTGAAGGACGGCGTGCTGCCTGAGAATTGAAATCTAGTTTGAAGAACTTGAAGCCTGAAGTAGTCAAGGAAATTCACCTCCATATTTACAAAGAGTGTTATGAGTATGATCGTCAGCATCTGGAAGGTTAACGCGCATGCTTTGTATTTTTAGCCACACTAACGCTCAATCACAACGTTTCAGGACAAGATGGGGGACATTTCATGACTACAAAATTGATATCTACAAGATAACTTAGATTTTGCACGAGGCAAAAGTGCAATCTGTGACTTAATTACTCTATGAACTTTATCTACTCCAAGATAAAACACTCATCCATGCCGGTGTAGTTGATGAGCTTTGGATCACGTTTAAGCAACAATAATGGAGGATGGAATTAAATATGAAGCGAAGCGAAAACAAACGAGGGTTTTATACAATATGCTGGAATGCAAATGCGATTTCAATCGCATATCAGAACGGAAAAACGTTTCCTGTGAGAAAGTACTGAAATTTTAACGCTGCGCTGTTAATCCTTTCGGCTATCAGGTTCAAATGATTCCTTTACAGGTTCCTTTACAAAAGCAAATTTTCACTATAATCCATTTCACTGCCAGACCCATATCTCATTGAAGTGTCGAATTATAGATGAAAGGAGGAGAATCAAATAGAATTTGGCAATAATGCAGCCGACCTGAAACACGAGGTCAATCACCCGATAGAAATGTGACTTCCGTTCACATCTCATTGCCCTAAGGCAGGTTCTTTACATATTTCGAAGCTATACAAATGCATTTTGATAATCGAACAGGCAGTTAGTTTTAATATAGGAAAGAGTCCCAACATTTAATAACAGTGAACTGTGACTCAAGCAATAGAAAAGCTTTTGTGCTTTGGACGTCATCGTAAGCTAAGTATCTCGTCACAGTCGTGCTACAAAGAAAATATTTATGCTAATTCCATGTGGTCAGTGATGCTATGCAATGCATCAGACTGATATCATTCATAAGCAAAAATTTCGTGAGCCAGCTTTTTTGATGAATGATATGTTTCGAACTTTGAGACACCCTTTCTTTCCATGAATTCACAAAAATTATTGTTACTTTCGGCCTTACCTTGATTTTGCACGATCACTCCAGCTTTGCATGCACAGTTCCTTTTTTACGATGAATATTTTTGAAGAAAAAACCTTTTATAAGAGTTCAAGACAAATTTGATATACTCTCATTAGTGGACTCTACTCAGATAATCGCCGGGGGCAGGCGGCCATGTTATTTTTGAGCAAGCGGGCACCGGAAAAATAGTTCGCTGATTTCATGCGGTCCGCTCGCAGAAATTTGAGGGAATGTTGACCAATTTTTAGAGGAATGCTCGAAGAAGTATTGTGGTTTTTCTATAAATTAGTTGCGGCGCAGTGGCCGCATTCTCGCGGACTTTCCGCAAGAATATGCAAAATTTTTGGGGACCGCACGGTCCTTTGTGGAGGACCGCGCAGCCCCCAGATACTTTCCGCTGAGAGAAAGTACCTCAAATTTGAGTAATTAAACCAACGGTGACACCTCTGCCACACAGAGTCTTATCTGTGCTCGACGTACGCCCGAAAATGCCTAAAAAGAGTCCGAGAGCTTGCTGAAAGTTTGGCCAGCGCTCGCTGAAAGAAATTATTTGCCGAGCGCTTGCAAAAAATACTCTATTGCTGTCCGCTGGCAGAATATGCGACCGTGAAGGAAGTGCCGCCCGCTGAAGGTTTGGCGCTCCAAAATTCTGCTGACCGCCTGCAGAAAAGCGCGAATGCGGACCGCCTGCCCCCTGCGATTATCGGAGTAGGAGTATGCAAATTAAGGGCAGTGATATATAGCTATACCGCTTGAAGTGCAGTAATAATTTTTGGGAAAGCAAATTAGTTAGTTATAACATGCTTGTAAAGAAAGCGTACGAAATTTTTATGTCGTTGTTTTTATGCGCTACTGATCTGAGACAGATATTTTATCCTATAGAATAGAATGTTCGCTCAAAGACTAGTTCAAAGTCTTTCGCATGTCCTAGAGACTTTTTTTTACAGCCTAATGTCGTTCCTAAGTCAAGAACTAATTTGTCCACCCTTTAAGCGCCGTTTTGTTTATAGTGCTGAAACTCGTCTGCACTTGGTCAGCACTCTACTAGGTGTTTCGAAAGTCCTGTCCTATTCTAAGCTGCCTCGTTTTGATCCAGCTATATCTTATGCACTTATAGTTGTGCACTTATTGCAGAGTTATGACATGATGAAAGCACTTTTTTGGAAAAGGAAATGATGGGCTAATTTACGCACACTTTTGCTTTCACATAGAAAGTGTCCTACTTTTCAATTGTCTTACTTGAACACGGGCCCATTTTTTTGGAGAAGGATAATGCTTCTTTTCTTGCATCATATTTGGCTCCAACTTCATAGGAAGAAATGTCAACCTTGTGCCAAGTGTCAAAACAATTTGACATGTCACTTACGTGTTTAACAAGTTTTTCCAAGAGCTTGTGTTGCCCTACCTAGGGACATAAGTTCAACCTGTTTATTAATCAATAATGACCCTTTTTTCATGAAACAATTTCAAATGAACATTGTAATGATACTAACGCCACTCTATTATCAACGAACACACTGGACTTCCCGGACTAGAGGAATGCGCTAGGACTCCATCATCCATGCGGCGAAACAAGCCGCAGCGAGGTACAACTTCAAGTCGTCATTTATAGGCTTTCCTGGCTAATTTCGCTTGGCGAAATGTTCAAAGAGAAATACACTCTTGAATCATTGTTAGAAGCAATCAAAATAATCTAATTATGGTTCTAGATTGTTTTGCTCTTATAGAAATCAAATGAACAGGTTTTAGGTGATACTAATGTTCTTTTACCTCACCGGAAATTAGTTCGAAAGAACATGTCAAAAAGGACTCGAACTCAATTTTTTCCTAACACGTGGCGGGGAGGCAATCCTAGCAGAATCAATTACAAATTTTTCTACGACTACAGGAGGTATCCATAAATGCTTTTTGAAAAAATGGGTCCGGTTAACAGAAAAGTACCCTCCCTCGTCTGGACACTCTACTAGGTGTTTCAAAAGTCCTGTCCTATTCTACGTTTTGATCCAGCTATATCTTATGCACTTGTAGTTATCCCACTATTGCAGAGTTATGAACATCATAAAAGCACTTTTTTGGAAAAGGAAATGATGGGCTAAATTACGCACACTTTTGCTCTCACATAGAAGGTCTCCTACTTTTCAATTGTCTTTCTTAAATACGAACTTTGCTTTTCCACAGCAGCAGTAATCTACGCATAGTGAAGAGTGATGGTTTTAAGCTTTGTGCTAAATTGAAGCCAGAGCAAGCAGGAACCATCAGCCAATTAGCTTCGTTCTTTCGCGACAGCAAGAAAAATCAAATATCGAGGTCTGCATGCTTATGCTTGCGGCGAAATGCTCAAAGTGGCTTCTTTTGCTCAAGAAAGGTCCTGTGCAGCAAGCACAACTTGAATTTTCTCTAGTCATAGAATATTCACTGACGTATAGACTTCGTGGTAATGGCAATCAAGTAATCCTACACATCCTTATATGAAAGCATGAGTATGTCAAAGTAGACGCTCATGAAGAAAATCTTGCAGAAATCTCCAAAATTTTCTTCTCTCTCATTTGCTTATTCAGCATAGCCATAAACTCGCTTAATCCAAAAAAATTTGATTTGTTCAGAAATGTTGATTTTGAAAAAAGTTATACCATTCTACATCAAAATTTACAAAGCCGACGGAACTTTTGAAACAATCTCTATTTGCAGCCAGCTTTGCTGTCGGCTATTGGAGTTCGCCAGCTGTTTTTTTTCATGTTTAGCGATCGCGTACATGATTGCATCTATACATGTCACAGTCGAAATGGAGAGAAGTTACCCCCGAATGCTGGAAAAAGGTAAATTTATAACACATTTGCAAACTCTGACGCTTGTTCGCTAAATCACTCGTTTAGGCGATTTTGTGCTGTTTTTCTCAAAAACGGAGCGTTATAGCGCATTCCGTTTTTATGCGTGGACCGATGTTTTAAGGGTAGTTTGGTCACGGCTTTTGTAACTTTATATCCAATCATAAAAACGGATCTGCGATTGGGATGCAAACATTAGGTTGGAAAGAATTGAATGCCGCTTTTTATTCCCTCGTCATAGCATCACAACAAGACAAACCCCCAAAAACATGTATGGGGTACCTTTCGATAGAAAAAGCAAGCTCTACGCAGCCCTACTGCTTTTGCACCATGTTATATCCACAGGAGTTCGAAGACGGAATTTAAAACGCTTCAAATAACCGAAGAATTGAAAAAAGTTCGTGTCTCCGTCCAAAAAATTTCTATGGACCCCAACTTGCTCAAGAACATACGTCCCTCATCAAACGTCCATATGCGCAATTGCGTTGTTTTTCCCTGGCTAGACATCGAGAAATCAAAAATTTTCATAGTTTTGCCAAAGTGATGATGGACTGTTTCCGCGTATGATATTCTATACTACTTAGCTTGGGAAGTACATTCGTAGATTTTCAGCCGTTTACAGGAGTTACTTTATAAGAAATATCGAATACAATTTGAAGAACAGAAGGAAAAAGGCTGAATTCGATATTCGAGGAATAACTCTTATAAAGGGCTGATAATCTACGGTTGTACTTTCCAAGCTGACAAGGGAATGGTCAGAAGTCGAAGTGGCCAAACCAAACAAGCTGTAACCATTCGATGCAGTATAAAACGCTGACTTTGAATCTGTCTTTCTTATCTGCTTCCCGCTTCTGTGGACGAAGCTACAAGCGCTTTCATTGTGAAAAAATCACACATAAAAACAGCGAAATTGAGCACACTGTTGCACTTTTAGCTCAGCTTTTTTCTTTAAAAATTTAAAATAGGCTAGCTGCACGTTTCGGCCCAGCATTAAGGCGAACGTGGCTCTGCACGGCTAGATTTTAAATTTCACGCGTAATTTCTTAGCAAAATAATGGTCTTTAATGGCTTGTAGCTTCGTCCACAGAAGCGGGAAGCAGATGAGAAATAAAGATTCGAAGTCAGCGTTTTATACTGCATCGAATGGTATACAGCTTGTTTGGTTTGGCCACTTCGACTTCTGACCATTTCCTTGTGAGTAGTATTAGGTTGTCCGGAAATTAATGCAGGTTTTCATTTCCAGCCGCAATAAGTCATACATTTCTCATTTTTGAACAGGTTGCAAGGTACTGTTCGATAGAGCAAAGCAAGCTCTACAAGATGGTCGTCTTGCTTTGGCAACAGCTCTGATCCACCACGAGTTTAGAGCCAAAAACTAAAAAGATCCAACAGCCCAAAAAATCGAGAAAAATCGTAATTCAGTTCGTAAAAATCCTACAAAAATTCTAACTTGCTCACGTAAACACAATCCACATAAGGCATCTATATACGCCGTTGCCGTATTTTTTTCTCTGTTAGAAATCAAGAAAACGGAAATTTTCGTTCACCTGCTAAAGTGGTGCAGCACCGTTCGCACATAGGTAGTTGTATACTGTAAACTTTTAGAAATACAAACCTAAATTTTCAGCTCTCTACAAGCTTTAGTTCGCGAGAAATTCAAAATTTAGCTTGGACCACATGACTAGGGAAAACTGTTTTCGATATTTCTCGAGAACTAAAGCTTGTGGAGAGCTGGAAATTTACGTTTGTACTTCTAAAGGTTTGTAGTATACAACTACCTATGTGCGAATGGCACAGCACCACTTTAGCAAATGGACGAAAATTTCCGTTTTCTTGATTTCTAACAGAGAAAAAATACGGCAACGGCGTATATAGATGCCTTATGTGGATTGTGTTTACGTGAGCAAGTTAGAATTTTTGTAGGATTTTTACGAACTGAGTTACGATTTTTCTCAATTTTTCGGGCAGTTGAATATTTTTAGTTTTTGGCTCGAAACCCGAGGTGAATCAGAGCTGTTGCTAGAGCAAGATAGCCATCTTGCAGAGCTTGCTTTGCTCTATCGAACAGTACCTTGCAACCTATTCAAAAATGAGAAATGTATGACTTATTGCGGTTGGAAATCAAAACCTGCATTAATTTCCGGACAACCTAATATATTAGGTTGGCACGAAAGTTCTTGCGTAATTCTAACAAAATTCAATAACTTTTCAAAGACTAAACCTAAATTCACAACCTTGCATGCTAAAAATATTAAAAGTCTCGCGCTCCATGATGGAAGTTCAAGCACAACATTCCATGAGCTAGCCATCGAGAACGAAGCTCTCAAATATGGGGCTTCAAATTTTGCGATTTTGAGTTTAGTGGCAGGAAATCGCAGAGTGCCGCTAGCTAGCCGAAAAAAAATCTGCAGGAATTACTCACACAACAAAAGTCCATATGTTACTTTGGAAGGCTTTGATCTTGCACGGTGAAGCAAAAACAAAAAATTCGTGAAATATGTCATTTTGCGGAAAAAATCCCCTCACGCCCTCAGTTTTCCGGCGCAAACACTTTTTTATAATCGAGAAAAAGTCGCAAGGCTCTAAATAGGCACTATGTCTAATTTCTGGTTGCAAACTGTGTTTCTGTGGAAAAATTAGAGCGAAAAGGGGATTTGTCCTGTGAAATGAGAAATTTCACAAATTTTTTGTTTTCGCATTTCCATGCGGGATCGAAGCCTGCTAAAATGACGTATAGACTTTTGCTGTGTAAATAAATTCTACAAATTTTTTTCAGCTAGCTAGCGGCCCTCTGCGTTTTTCTGCCACCAAACTCAAAATCGCAAAATTTGATGCCTTCTATTTGAGGGCTTCGTTCTCGATGGCTAGCTCATGGAATGTTGTGCTTGAACTTCCATCATGAAGCGCGAGACTTCTAACATTTTTAGCATACAAGATTGTGAATTTAGGTTTAGTCTTTGAGAAGTTATTGAATTTTGTTTGAATTACGCAAGAATTTTCGTGCCAACCTAATATAATTAAATGCGCGGGAGAAGATCTCATTTTGGCAAGAGCATGAAAATTTTCGATTTATCGATGTCTAGTCAAGGAATAATTACAGCAAGTGCGCGTAAGATAATCGCTGGAGGCAGGCGGTCATGCGATTTAGCAGGCGAGCACCAGAAAAATAGTTTCCTGATTTCTTGCGGTCCGCTTGCAAATATCTGAAGGAATTTTGGCTGAATTTTAGACTAATGCTCGGAGAACAATTGCGGCTTTTTCATTGATCAGTTGCGGCGCAGTGGCCGCATTCTCGCGGACTTTCCGCGAGAATATGCAAGATTGTTGGAAGCCGCAGCACGGTCCTTTGTGAAGGACCGCACAGCTCGTACGGTACCTTCCGCAAAAAGAAAGTATCCCAAACTGGGTAATCAAATCAGCGATGATACCTCTGCCACATGGAGTCTCACCTTTGTTAGGCGTACGCCCGGCCCTGAGTAGAAAGAGTCCGAGCGCCTGCTGAAAGTTTGTTCAGCGCTCGCTGAAAGAAATTATTTGACGAGCGCTTGCAGAAAATTCTGTAATGCTGCCCGCTGGCAGAACACGGAGTACCACTCGCTGAAGGTTTGGCCACGCCCCAAAATTCTGTTGACCTGCAGAAAAGCGCAAGTTTGCGGACCGCCTGCCCCCTTCGATCATCTGAGATGGATGTTTAATAAGGGATGTATGTACGTGAGCAAGTTGGGAGGTCCGTAGAGATTTCTTGGAGAGGTACAGTTTTTTTCAGTTTTTCGATAATTTGGAACTTTTTAGATTTCATATTCAAACTTTAGTAGATATAAATCAGGGCAAAGGCAGTGATCCTAAGTTATAGAGCTTGCTTTACTCTATCGAATGTAGCACGCACATGTTTCTGGGATTCGCCTTGTTGTGATGCCATGACGAGGGAATAAAGCGACAGCCTTTTTTATCCAAATTAATATTAGTCGCTTTGGTAACCTTAGAGGTTCTCTAATTTCTGCTACAGAAAAGCGATGCGCGCAGACATTCATATGCCATTCCGAGAAAGAGTTAGGCTTGAAGAACACATTAAAATCGAGTGAATGCATGCATTAAGAGATATCTTACCTTCTCCACGTCCGCGGGAACGTTTTTGGTTTGGAAGAGGCCGCGACGATACTCCTTCTACTGCTTGCACGTACTGCATGTCGCGATCCCAAAAAACAGGATCAACCTTGCAACAACCATGGAAGTTGCAGCGGAGTATAGAAAACCAAACAAAGCTCCAAATAATGCGGCTATCAAGATAGAATTAAATTTGCAGGTATTGACAAAATTGAAAATACAAATAAGTTTTGCCAACCTCAGGCTGTCATTAGGCTGTCAGATGACAACCTAATTTGGAAAAAAGTTGGGCACGCTCTTCATTCACATGAGTTTTCCATAATTTTTTATACTTTGTTCCATAGTCCTACTGCGCATATACACACCAGTTCCCAATCTCGCGCGATTTCGACACCTCTGCGTTGCAAACGAGCCATTTTTTCATTTTTTTGAGAACACGAAATTTTTAAAAGAAAGTTTGCCACAACCTTCAGTCACATAATTTTTCATTGAAACTTTTCAGTTAAGCCCTACAGGCCCGTGTGCATGTACGTACAAAGTTTCATACCATATCGTCATCTGTGCATTGCAGGAGTCATGTTTTACATCTTCACTCACTAATTATGCAAAATTTTAAAAAACGAAAAATTATTATTACCCCTTCCATTCACACAAGTTTTTCATAGTTTTTCATACTTTGTTTACACTGGCCTCTCTTCGTTCGTTTACGAAATTTCGTGCCATATATTTGCGCATGCATTGAGAACTACTTACGCATGCTGTTACAAATAATCGTTTGAGCGCGTCGCGAGTGCGGCAATTAGCGACGGCGCGGTATGACGTGTGTGAACTCCAGTGTTCGCCTGTTGAGGCAAATAATATGTTAAGATAAGCAAATGGCATGAACTGCCAATTTCTTCTGGGGCTTCGTCCGGACCCCGCACAAACGATTTCCCCTTTGCTTTTTGACGAAAACGAATTCCAGCTTGTCATTTGCCAACCTCGTGCCGAGCCCTGGCTATAGTCAGATCGGCATAGAAAATACCTAGCTACCTGTAATGCATCTCGTTTCTTGTGTGGAGAGATTGGTTTTGTTTCTGCAAAACTTTGATGCAATAGACGGTGCAAATACAGCTGTTATGAAGTCAAGTTCAATTGACATGATAATGGTAGGTGTCACGTTTCACTTTATTTCTCTTATTATGCGGAATAATATGTTTTTGTCATTTACTCGCTGACGCCAGAACGATCTTTGCTAAATATTTTGGGGGCGCCTGTACAACGTCTTTAGTAATATTATGATCTTCTTTTGATATATAATACTCCAAAATTTTCTAACGAAGAGCACTTGCAGCTTATAGTAATCAAACATGATTTTTGACATTTTTGTAAATATTAAAGGCATCGTTCAGGCAGAATTTCGACTTTTCTTTTTGCCTTATCCAAGCTTCTTCATGGCGCTGATTTCAGATATGGCAGTCGAAATGCGTGGATTCCTCAAACACCCCATTTCTGAGACATTTTTGTGAGAAGCCTGGACGAATGTTTCTATTGCAATCCTTGTCGAAAGAAAGCATTAACAGGTACCTACATAGAAACACTCGCCCAGGCTTCTCACAAAAATGTCTCAGAAATGGGGTGTTTTGAGGAATCCACGCATTTCGACTGCCATATTTGAAATCAGCGCCATGAAGAGGCTTGGATAAGGCAAGAAAAGGGAAGTCGAGATTTTGCTTGAACGCTGCCTTTAAGCGTTATCCAGAAACAACACTACCGAATGCACTATATTGGGAAATACTTTTTGAAGACCAAAACGTAGCTGTATCGATTGACAACCATTGTAACAATAGTCTTATCCTGTTACGTCCCTTCTAATGAAAATTCCAGCAAAGGGGTGGAATATCGGAATCAATTTATAGCTTATTCAAGCAAATTTTTGCGCACGTATTCGCAGTAGATTTCAGCTATTGATTCTTCTACTGCATGTAACAGCAGTGAATATGAATTTGTCCATGATTACTATCCTGGCGTTAGTCTCTTTCACTGTAATGATATGATGGTTTTTTTTAGCGCAGTAGCACAAGCGTTGGAGAATCGTTTGAGGCATGAACACTGTGATGATGACTCTAGGCGTCTTCATTCCTTGTTATGCCTCACAGCTCGATTGCCAATTGTGTCAGGATCTGGCATTTGCATTGAGAGTTGCTACGAAGATGGGCGTCGCGAAATCGATCGATGAGGCAGCATATATGCTTTTATTTATACATTCATTGATATTTTTGTGTTACAGATAATGGCGTATAGATGTTACATGTACGAAAAGGGGAACGTGGAAGAGCGATGCCATGAAGTGGCGAGCACGTTGGAACATGTCGGCAGAGATGCTAAGAAGCGACTCATTAATGAAGAAAACATTGATGTACGTAGCGTTTTATATTAGTTTTGACTTTCTCTTTCACTGTGTCAATTACAAATTCAGAAATGGAAGAGCGAAAAAACTCTATGCAGAGAGTTCATAAAACTATGCCGTTAATGGTTGCGCAAGATTTATTGCATTATTGAGACATGTGCACAACTATAAAAATCTGCATATGCCCACAGAACACATGCAAAGTTAGATTCGTCATAAGTAGAGTACAATGTTTTGTGTATATTGGTGAAGGGGCACATTGTGTGTTACATGTCGGCACATCAATTTCGCGGTCTGCATTTCAATTAGTGATCCTCATCAGTGGACGTGCTCCCAGCTTTTCACCAAAATTAGTGCAAACAATCGTCCCCTCAGTGTTTATGGCCAGAGTGCTCAAAACTCCTCCTCGCCCTCCCCATCCTTCCCAGAATTCTCTCTCAAGTAGTGTCTTATCACGACGTTCCCACTCCTTCTCGCTCCCTATTTCTATCTCGGAGTTTCCATGTCGAATCACAGATTCTCCCGTGGCTTTCCCAACCAAATGTCCTCTCACCAAGAATCCAAAAGCACTAAAGTCCACAGCTTATTCCTTCGATCTGCCTAAAGCTGCTTTAGCCAATGTATGCGAAAGCACCGAATTGAGTCCGCAATTCTTTCCATAGACAGGATGCTCAAAGCTCCTCCCTTCAGAATTCTCCCTTAACACATTGGGTTGTTTCATACTGCCGCACTGACTGCAGCAGTCTGCACTGACCGCAGCAGACTGCAGCTGACCGCACTGACCGCAACGACCGCAGCGGCTGTAGCATGCAGGCGGAGAGGATAAATAGTTGTGGTTTAAACAAACAGCAACAATATATACGTAAAAGCAAAAGACAACACGGTTTAGAATGTTACAAAACAGGTATATGCAATGATAGGAGGAATTAGAACAGATACGAACATACCAAAAAACTATCGCCAAAATTTGATTGAGAAGGGATTCTGATGGAACTTATGATCTTCTTATGCGTAAATCTAATAAGTTTTGGTAATCGCGGTTGTTTTCTTTTAAGAAAAGAGGCTGCGACCAGTGCGGTCAGTGCGGTCAGCTGCAGTCAGCTGCAGTCTGCTGCAGTCAGTGCAGTCAGCTGCAGTCTGCTGCAGTCTGCTGCAGTCAGTGCGGCAGTCTGAAACAACCCATTGACGATTACGCAGATTTTCAGTTGTCTGCCTTCTGGGACCAAAGCCTTTTACGGACCAGCCCGCATTTTTCAACTATAATTACGCATGCTGCCATCTACAGCACACCTACAGTAAACTGAAAGGCTGATAGAAAAGGTAGAGGTTATCCCTAGGTTCATTGCAAAGGAAAGCTCATGGAGTGAGTCTATCCCAGGATGGTTTTCATTTTTACAAAATTCAAGCCTTGACACACATGGTGTGTCAAGCGGTCTCACGCGGTAGTCATTGCTTGACACAACATGTGTGTCAAGCGGTCGTCAATGTGTTAATAATGGAACAATTAGAATTCGAAGTGACCAATCTAAACAAGCTGCAGACCGTTATGCAACATAGAACGCTGACTCCAAATCTTCTGTCTTCTGTCTCTGCTAAGCACTTTTGTTGACGAAGCTGCAATTATACCTACTACATCGCTAAAAGACCGTGCGTTCAAATGCAAATTTGGCCTACAGAAGGGGGCTAAAACAAGCAGCTAAGTTACTCTATATACCCTACAATGCCCGTAACTTCGTCTGGCTATGGAAGACAGATCCCCTGGGATCCATCAAGGGAATCCTAGGGGATCTGTAGAAATAGTTAAAATTTCCTTGTATGGCAATGTTCTGCGATCCATTAAATTATAGAACAGACAGAAAAAGAAGAATACAAATAGCTACAGTGGTGAAATATGACGCGTCTCCTTTCAGATCCCCCCCCCCCCCTCCCCAGCGGTCTCAAAGTTGAGTAGATTTCCAGGTAAATAAAGCGCGTTTGCAGAAGCGGCAGCACTTGCGCGTGAACAATTGTCGCAAAGCGAGAAGCGCCAGGTGATTTCTGTGTTTTCTTCGCTCATTTTTCAATTTCCAGATATGCCTCAATCGTCTCAGAGTAGAAGGTAATCAGAAAACAGGTTCTGTTGTTTCACCAGTCCATCTCCTTTGAAGGCAGCAGCTCGCCAAAACCGAACATCCCGAAATTTTGACATGGAAAGTTGCTTGCAGCTCAAACATGAGGACAGAGCAGGTCAGAGCGCACAGCATGCTGCCCTTGCCTACAAAATCTCGTTACAAGCTATTCTAGTACGCGCGGACGAGCTTCGATTCTCCCTGACACGTCAGAGAAGGCATGCCACAATGTTATAACTGCGAGGGTCCCGCAACGATTCTGCCTCTCTATCCATGGCGGACGTGCTCCACTCGTCCAAATTCAAAATTGGAGGCTTTGGGAGATAGTGGTTTTTGCCATTGTCGCGCTCCTCAAGGTGGACTACCGGAATCAGTGCCTCTAATTACCCCATGTAAGCAAGAAGACTTAGGGTTGAGAACCTGCCGAGCCGCTGCCTTTGAGTTCAGGTGTATTTTCTGATAACTGCGTCGCATGAAGTGTTTGTGAGTTACTTACTTAGTTACTTAAATGACCCGTCTTCACGTGACGTGCGGGACCCTGCACAAAAGCTTCCATTTGCCTCTGTCCCTCACTTCAAACATCCACGATCTTCTCTTGCCGTCGGTGGCTGCGTACACGAGTTCCAGGTGCGATAATCGTATCCAGCTGATTTCTCAGCTGGTCCATCTGTTCTACGAACACGTCTGCCCATTTCCCTCGAAAACGTTTGGCTTCGCGAGGATTCCACTCAGATGTTCTTAGTGTCCATCTGTCATCTATTCTTCTGCCTTCCAATTCCATTTCTGCATCTTCACTTCCTCATAAACTCAGTCTTCTCCCGAATCATTCGCAGTCCCATTTTCTTCCCTAATTCGTTTAGTTCCTTCAGCATCGTCTCTGCTTCAGTCATACTGCTCGAAAAGAGAACAATATCGTCCTCAAAACGAAGGTTCGACAGGAATCTCCCATCGACTATGCCTGTCTCGTCCCAGTTCAGTGGCTTCATCACACATTGCAAGACCTGTGAACGCTTCGGCGAATTCGTGTCGCCTTGTTCGACCCCCTTCCCTACTGGGATGGTCAGGGGGGCGATGGAACAGCTGCAACGTCGTTGTAAGTCCTAACGTCTTAGTCGGCTAACGTTTTCACGCAAGCTGAATCCACTCCTTGATCGACTAACGTAGGCAGGATGGCGTTGGCTTCGACGCTACCAAAGGCTTTCTTGTAGTCGACGGAGCTTAGGACGAGAGGAAGTCGGTACTCCCGGCAAATTTCTGTCACCCTCGAAACCGTCTGGGTGTGGTCCATGCAGCTGAATTCTTTGCGAAATCCAGCTTGTTCTTGGGGTTGAGCTTCATCCAGTGTCCTAGATATGCATGCGAGGGTAATCGTCGTAAAAAGCTTGTATTGCACACTCAACAGGCGTATTGGACGGTAGTCCGAAGATCCTCCCGCTCACCCTTCTTGAAGAGAGAACGGTTCTTAACATTCTCCCCCTGTTGGGAATCCTCTCCTTCTAAGGGTAAGATGTCAGGTTCGAGCGAGAATGTCGTGTAAACGCTGTCTTCCGGCTCGCAGAAATTCGACGGAAAGATGGTCTGGTCATGGAGTCGTAGACGTCTTCATGGTCTGAATCGCCTTGCGCGCTTCAGCAAGTAAAATTCGTGGTGGTAGTTCTCCAGTGAGAACAACGGGCATCGGCGCGGCTGTTGATGAGCGGAAGAGGTTGGTGTAGAAGTTCTTTACGATAGATTTCATCTTATATCGGGAAGAAGTCGGAGCCCCGTCTTCGTTCAACAGTGCAGCTAGCGGTACGTGATATTCACGAAGGTCCACTTTCGCCACTTTTTAAACTTCGTCTTCCTTCGGCTGCTTCCATTAACTTGGCTTGCCTGTACTTCCTGAGATCCCTGCAAAGCTGTTCCGCAACTGGCGTTGATCAGTCGCTCAAGATGGGTTGCATTCGGATCCTGCCTTAGAAATCATCTTCTCTCGAGCAATTCCTTGATGGTCTTCGAAATACGTTCCAAGTTCTTCTTGAAAGTCACTAAGACTCGCGATCCTTTCAGAAGCCGGTCGTAGCGTACGTTGGGTCCTCTTCGGTGGGCCAGTTTCAACTTGATATGAGCTGTTCAGCTTGTTACCGTCATAAACAATTCCCTTCCTTTTTGCGGCACTGTGACAAACTTTCTTTTTTAGCTTTCGACTGAGTCGTATCTTCGCTCGAAGGAGACGGTGATTGGAACTGAGACTTCGAGCAAGTTCCACCTTCGGTTGGTAGAATGTGGTCGGTCTCCACGTGAGTTGTTCTTTCTTTATGAAAATGAAATTTCCATGGCAAAGTCGCGTGGCGGAGAGAAGACCAACGAGACGACTGCCGTTTTCGTTTCGGAGCCCATATTTAAACTTCCCGATCCTATATTCCCTTCTAGTGGCATTCCGTCTTCGCGTTGGAGTTGCCCAAAACGAACTTGTGGAAGGACTTCTCGTTGCGGACACTTGCTCCTCGTCTTCGTGAAAAGCATCTAGCTTTAAATCGTCAGCTGCTGATGTTGGTGAGTAGCAGTTGATGATGATGATGGTCTTCTGACGTGGAGGTCGTAGTCGTAACATGGCTAGTCGAGGTGACAGGATCTTGTGCGAATCGGCAAGATGGACGATTGATGGGTGGACGACAAAAGCAACGTTTCCAACGTTTCGTGATGGAACCTTTTTACCACTAATGATAAGGGTCCCATCACCCATCTGTCGCACGTCCCTCTTCCTGGTTCGTTTTCTGCAGAGCGATGACGTGGTACTTGATGTGCTCTGCACAGTCGAGAAGAGCGTATGTCGGCGTTTGTGGAGACTGCCCTGGCGTGTAGGTGCAGAGCATAAGTCTCCATGGCTCGTCCGGGCAGACGTGTCGTTTTTGTCCAACCCGAAACCCTGAGCACCCTGACATCTACCCGGCACGGTAGGAGGGACATGATGTACGGGGTTTATTTCTCTTCTTTTTGCTGAACGAGTAATAAAAATTTTTTTCTCTACAAGAG